CCCCTAAATAAAGTCTGTCACTGTTTCCATTGTTCCATCTCTCCTAATATCTCACCAGTTATGGTGTCTAAGTCTTACTCATCTCTGAGGTCTCAGGACAGTATTCCTGCCCATATAGTATGTGCTCAATGAGAGGTTTTTGGCCAAAAGTGATTCTAATGTCACCGATATGACAGATTTGTGAAAACTGGCTCTATTCTTCTGGGCTGGAGATACACAAGGTTTGAGAATTCTAATAGATTCATGGCCTTAGCTGCACACGACTGAGGCCCCCAACAATGAGGAAGACCTCTAGAAACTATTCTGTCTAGGATAATACTGCCCTAGACTTCATAACAATGCAGCAGAAACATCGAGGTTACAATATTCAGCAGTGTTACTTCTAGATGGAGAGGGAGATAATAAGTAGGTAGAAAAGGGGTAGATAGGCATATAGATAGACAAAAAAATTAGGTAGATATATACAGGTAGGAAGATAGAAATAAACAGATATATGAATATATGTGACTGTTTGGGATATACCATCCTCCAATCCTTTAAATTTAGCCAAGAAAACAAAACAGTAAAAGGTGATACTATGGATAGGCATTTGAGTCCAGTGAATAGTGTGTGAAAATGAGAAACAGCAGAACAAAAAGCACTCTATTAACTGGGGAAGTGGTCTAGGCACGATACTCTCATCTTGGTTCTACAAATAGACCACACTTCTTGCAAAGGGTTTTACTTGTACTACTTCCAGGACCAATAGTGTAATAAAGGTGAAATTGGTGAAATAACTCATTTCACCAATAGTGAAATGAGTTCAAGGAGAGAAAGAGGTGCAGTGACAGAGGGCATTTACCTCTAAGGTGGAAAAGAGGCATTCCTTCCACTTTAAGCAGCTTCTTCTCAACTCAAAACTATACGACAGACAAAACAACCATCAGAACCTCCTTCTGGTTCTCACCTGGGCTCTGCTCATCAAGGACATCATGACAGACAGACAGATGGACAAGATAGATAGGCAGGCAGACTGAACAACCTTCTCTCCAAATTCTTTGACTGTCCTCTTTCAATTTAAGTTTCCCCAGCTTCGCCGGTGGCTTAGACAGCCAAAAATCTGTCTGTAAATGAAGGAGACCTGGGTTCGATCCCTGGGTTGGGAAGATCTCCTGGAGAAGGGAAGGGCTACACACTCCAGTATTCGTGCCTGGAGAATCCCCATGGACAGAGAAGCCTGGCGGGCTACAGTCCCTGAGGTCACAAAAGAGTCGGACACGTCTGAGTGACTGAGAATACAATATAATCAATATAATATAACACAAGATAATACAATGCTGAGACACCAAATAAAACACATGAAGAAAAGCTAAGGTTAGAGATAGCAGGAAGTGGCCAGCACTTTTTGGCTGGTGGTGGCGGGTGGGGTGGAGGGGTGGTGCAATTTTCTGTTAAGTTCCAGGTAGTAAGAATTAAGCTCAGTCCCAAGTACTCTGCTCGGCCCTGCCCACCAGCGGCAGTGCACACACCGCTGAGCACAGCGACATTCCCACCAAACTGTATTTGCAGAAGCAGATACAGGGCTGGATTTTGCTCTCAGGCTGCAGTTCAGTGACCCCTGGGCTAGAGAGATAAAGAGTAAATGCTCGGGTCAGAGGTACCTGGGAGAAGCAGAAACCACAGCAGGGCTGGCTAGTGGAAGGGACAAAGACAGACACTATGTGAATCAGAGAAAGGGGAGAAAGACCCTGACTTCTCCCTCGTCCCACCCTGCAGCATCCTGCCCCTCCCTCTCAGCCAGTCAGAGGCCACCTGACAGAAGGACAGAGAAAATGCATACTGCAGTGATCAGTCTCCGTGATAATGCAGGAACCCTGCTAAACGAACATGAAGCCAAACACACCAAAAAGTGAAACCACTAATCAACTAATTTCATACCGAAAAAAATGTTGCCCTATACAAGGATGTCTTTTACCTTAAATGGCTGTCATATAACTGCATAAAACAATAGGTCAAAAGAGGAGCCATATGACAGTAAAAACTTATCTCGGTGCAAATTATCTAAAATAAAGAAAACCCATAACTCAAAGGGCACGTGGTCATCCATAACACTGTCCCAAATGAAAGGGGGGTGTGTAGAGTTGGAGGTTTTCTGAATACATCAGTGACCTGCCAATTCCATTTTTATCATCGTGTTTCTATCCCATTAGACTATTTGACATGAGAGAACTGCTGTTAATTTTCTAGCTCTTTAACTGTGATATACATTAGAGAGGAGGAAGGCATGGAAATAGATCTATTCACAGAAAAGATTATGCAAGGGAAACATCTGAAAAGAAGCAGTTCTCTGATTCAGGCTCTTTTAGATCAGATTTTCAGTTCTCTTTAAAATGCTCGCTTGAAGGTAAACAAAGGCTTTTGCATGAAAGCTAAACGTACTTTCATAGGCAATCTCTATGTATTCACTGTATTAAAACCAAGGTCAGTAACAAAACCAAGGAAATGGGGTATTCCTTGGTATTCCAGTGGGTAGGACTTTCTGCTTTCAGGGCTGAGGACACACGTTCAATCCCTGGTCGGGGAACTATGCCCCCAAGCCACATGCTGCAGCCAAAAAATATATATACATATATTCAAGGAAACGCTTTAGAAGACAGTCCACAAAGACTGCCACTCTGGGTGATACAAAATTATACACAAGACTGCCACTCTTGGTAATGCAAAATTATCAACTTATGAGCTTAAGAAGCAATTATTTAAATAAAGTTATTATAAGAGTAGGATTGAGGTGAAAGAGTCAATGACATTTTATACGTAATATATCACTTAGAACTAGCAAAATTTTATATACTCAGATTAAGTAATCTTCTTTATGTTAAATTTCTGCTTTCTAATTTTTAAATGGAAATCCTAAAAATGCAGTTTATAGTTTAAAACTACCAAGAGAGACTTATCAGGGTATTTTAACTACTTTTACAGAGAGTTAATCACAGACTATAGATTTTCCCTGTGACTCACTTTTATGAGCTAAATTAGAAGTTATCTCACTTTCCCCTCTATAACTGCAGACTCTAAGTAGCAAAAAGTCACCCTAACAATTGAAATTCTGCACCAATACATAAATTGCATCTCTCATACATGATCATAAGTAGCTTTCAATGACCTCTATTCATCAACGGTTTTATGAAACATTGTACTAGGTGCAGGCATTTATTAAGTCTCTGAGCCCAGTGCCCTGAAAGCAAAATTCGAGAAACTACAACGAGAGGGAAAAAAGACAACAGCTCAGTGGTAAGACACAACTCCGCAGTACAGATATAAATACTGCTCTCCAGGATCCTGTGTTCCTTTCATATTTTTGATATCTTTATCCTGGCCGTCAACATTTTTTCTCCCCTCTTCATTCCTTGGGCCATTCTTCCTAACCTCTCCTGTCCTCCCTAGACTCCAATATTCCCCAAGCTCACAATTTTTCTTTCGAGCCTTTATGTTCTTCCACAAACTGCCAGCGCTCGTCCACAGGCCGGAGCTCCCTAACTAAAGATGGTTATTGATGTACAGTACCAGTGCTTTAGTGCAGCAGCAGAATCAATAAACGAGAAAATACTGCTTTGTCAGGCTTCGCCGGAGCATGCTGGGAAACTTTACTGCTCTGGATGGCTACAGCAAGCTTAATACGCGAGAGGGAGAGCCAGCTCCCTTCTGCGGAGAGAATGATGTTCTCCTACCCTCTAGTGACTATAAAGGAGTAAGACAAAAGTTGGAGGGATTTCTGAGACGGCTTCACATGATTATTTACTGCCTCTTAATTTTATTTCTAAAAAGAACCAGAGTTCTGAAAACCCAGTGAACAGGTAGGATTAAAACAAAGCTAAATTTAAAAAAAAAAAAGCAAAAAGCTTAGCCTGGTTATTTTTAAAGGGCTCCCAAAATGCAAAGGATATACATCTTAGGAAGAGTCAGAACTTTGATTCCTCTGGATTTTAAAAAGCAAGGCTTAGAAAGTTTGCCTTCCTAAATGACTAGTCAGGTTACAAATCTCTCTCTCTCACACATACACATGCTCTTATAATGCACAAAATCTTTGTTTCAATCTCCTTATTTTACAGTGAAGTAAACAACTACAGGTTAGAAATGAGAACTGGTATACATCTGTGTACAGGTGTGTGTGTATAAATAAATGCATATTCAGAGCTTGCCCATGCACCGGCCCCTAGCACACAGACCCATCATGGGCACCTCCATCTTGATTATTCCTCTTCTGAAAGCAGTAGAGTTGCCAAAGTAAGTTATACAGAGGTTTTTTTAATTTGTTTACATTTAGTGAATTTTGACATTTAATCACTTCAGTGACAACGTATTACCTTCAGAACCTGATGAATTGATAACATATCCCTACCTTAAATTGCACAGAACTATTTTTCATGGAGAAATCTTTAAAGAAACAAAGAAACACTTACAAAAATAAACAAATAAATGGTAAAATAGAAATAGTATAAAAAAGATTTATAAAATATACCACATATTCCTCTCAATCTTTTCATTGCCCTTATAGCACCAAAATTAGCTTCTACCTAATGGTAAGTAACTTTCTAAAGGACTAAGTCTAATGCACTGCAGCTACAAATAATTCAAGCTTAATGAAGTGCAACATTCTTTTTTTTTTTAATTTATTTATTTAATTGGAGGCTAATTACTCTACAATATTGCAGTGGTTTTTGCCATACATTGATATGAATCAGCCATGGGTATACATGTGTCCCCCATCTTGAAGTGTAACATTCTAACATGGCTGGCACATATAAAAGTTCACCTCTAAAACAAGCGTAAGTTCTAACATCTGGCTATGCTGTTATTAAATGAAATTTAAAAGAGAGTATGTTTCCTTTTTATTCATATCAGCAGTCAGAGGGGATAAAAGCCTTTACATGGAAAGGTTGGATAGTATCAGTCATGTCTACATTTGTCTTTGCTACAAAGATGAACCACATGATGAAAAGAAAGAAAACAGCTATATTTACCTTACTGGCACTTAACCGCTTCCGATTCGACCAACGCTAAGGATTACGTCCATTGGATGGTGAAAACAGCAAAATAAAAGAGAGAAATGCAGCTGTTAACAACATGATTGTGTTATTATGCTAGTTAGATGGCGCAGACTGCATTCAAACCACTGACACCCACATTCTGAGGTTAGAGAAAACACACAGAACAAGAAGAGCTAGAAACCTAGGAAAATCACATTTCCATGGCTGTGTTACACCATTTTCTCACAGTATTCAAAAATGAAAAGAGAAGGACACATAACACTACTCAGTCCTTACAAGACACATTTATGTTTTTATTTACCTGAAAACACTATAATTTTACCTCTAAAAGCAAAGTGGAAAGGCAGATTTCTCCTACCTGAAACACTCAGAGTGCATTATGAAAATGTTTAAGAAGTTCATGGACAAAGTCAGTTCATGTTTAAGTTTCTGTAGTCTTAGATACAGGAAAAAAAAAATCATTCCATTTCCCTCTGCTGAGTAAATCTCAATATTCAAAATAATAGAAAAACAATGGGAGTCATTCCTGCACAGTTAAGAAAAACAAGCTAATGCAGCAGTCGGGAGGGAAGGAAAAAAGTATTCTGGACAGCCGGTAACCTCACCATTGTTCTCTTTTTGATCTTTCATTTGTGGAGCTAAGGCTGCTGAATTTTGTCCATAATTAAAGTTCTCTCCTAACAAAATCCCTCATTACCCCTGTCACCGTCCAGTACTGCAAAGCTCTATTCTGGCTGGTTAACCAGCTAACTGGATAAATTTGGCAGATTATAACTCAATTATGCATCTAATTGAGCAGCTCATAGTAACTATTATGATTAAGGAAAAAAAAAATACCTTTAGGCAAATAACCTATCTGCTTTGTCAATACACCTCCCCAATATATTACAAACCAGAAGACAAATCATCTCTGGGGGAAGTTCACTTATATTCCAAGGACCAACACCTAGAAATGTTGGTACAGAAATATCTTGAAAATATTCTTCAGTAAAAACACTGCCTCTGGAGACACTGTGAGCTCAGCCACTCGGCATGTGACCCAGAGTTATAGACACTCCAAGCTGGGTGTTAAAATCAGTTCTTTTTGTATTTTCCCAACATATGGACAAATATTTTCACCCAGAACCAAGCACTAAAATTAATCACTGTCTTGTAAATACACATGGCTATTTCTAAACAGTCTTTTGAAATATAATTCATTTGATTTTTATATCCCCAAAGACTAAAAAATAGATAAGAAAATTAATGGAAAATGAGTACCACTGTTTGCTCACTATAATACTAACACTACCTTATATCAAGTGTCTGCTCCATGCTAAGCACTATTTTTGGTCATCGTGATCTTCACAAACCTATAAAATAGATTTTTTTTTAATCTCTATTTCACACATGAGGAATTTGTAGCTGTGAGAGGTTAAGCAATTCTATGAATCTGACCTGATCACTTAACTTCTCAAAACTAAAAATAGTGGAGTTGGGATTCAAACCCAGGCAGTCTGATGACAGAGCCCATAATTGTAACTATAATCCAATTTTGTCAAAAAAAAAGAGACAGAAGGCAGGTTCGTCAGCGCTCCAGCCAGGGTCTTACCTTCTAACTGCACCATGCCCATACGCCCTGGCCCTGAGGGTCAATTCACAGACATTTTGCACATTTTAAGGTTTTTATCAGCTTGACTCTAAAACAACAAACACTGCCTCAATGACCACCAGGTACAGAACTGTGAATTCAAACTGAAATCTCTCCATCACGTTTTAAATTAAAATGGAAATTTATAAACAAATTATTTCCAAGTAATCCCAGTCTCCCCTGTTAGTTATTCCCATTAAAAAACCCTAATATAATATATCTTTAAATACTAACTTAAACCCAAGGAAAAGAACGAGTGTTTTCTGATATCTACTTTATCCAAAGAGCCCCCGATATTCATGCTAAATTGAATAGCCACACATGACCCAGGATGAATTATTCCCTGCTCAGCTGTACTCTGAACAAGTATATCAATGGGAAAATTACACTACCAATCAGAACAAATAGAACAGGCATTGTTAATTATCATTATTATACTCCATTTTAGTTATATATTCGCTATTTTTCAGTCACTATGTCCAACCCTTTGCAACCCATAGACTACATATATATATATAAACACACATACATATAGTAATATATACATGCATAATATGTATGTACACATGTATATACATGCATGTACATATACATAAAAGTACACAAACATATAGTAAATATAGTGTGCCTGAGAGCCCCTGCCAAACAAGTAAAGAACAAAGAAAATGAAAAATCATATCAAGTACGTAATGCATACAGCCTGACAAACTTTCAAAAACAGGGGGTGGGGGAGTCAATGGAAAGAAGGACCAAACTGAGTGAGAAGTGTCTCTCTTTCCACTAAATGCTCTGAATAGACAGGCTTTGAGATGTTTTCCAAAAACAAACTCAAGCAGCATTGAGTATTAATTGCTCTGCAACTTGAAATAAACTTTAACTGAAATGGCTCTCTTTAAAAACTCCAAATATTGGCAATATTTCAACATATTTTAAATGCCAGTAGTATTGCTAAATATGATCTGATACACTACAGAAAAATCCACAAGTGGAATAAACAGGCTGCTATTACGTAGCTCTCTTCATGAGGTCATTATCCAAATTTACAAACCCCATTTAAATATGTAAGAAATTTTCAGAATATACCAGCTGGCAACTGGGCAACCATGTAGCAAACACAATGCTCATCTACACGGCATGTCATTTTAACCCGGCATCCAGCTGATGGAAGCAGTCACCTACTGGATGCACGGACACTGAATGCAATGGCAAAGCCACCAAAACTATGAGACGCTAAAGGAAATCCCTCCATCATTAGGTTATATGGAAAAGTATTTTCAACATCAATGTAAGACATTTTAACATCAAAGTATCAGTGCTATTGAGGCCTCAGGTTTTAACCATGCCACTTCTTCATTAATAAATGGAGATCACTTTCCCAAAGTTATTGTCAAGTAAATGCTCATAAGTAAAGAATTCAAATTAAAAATAACAACTGTGCAGTTGACCCTCTGGCAACTGAAAAGCCACTGTTCAGTTTTTTGTTTTTCTTTTTTAACTCCTTTAAGCTATCTTCAGTAAGTTCACTAGTAAATCACTCATGATTTTCATCAGGAAAATAAATTACAGCCAACAGCAAAGGTGATGTCAAAATGAAGAATACTCTCCACACTGACCCCAGTGACTCAATTCAAGAAGTATTATTGGAGGCCTAATTTAAAAACAGGCTTCAGATTTTCATAACAGATTCTATTAAGTTTAAATTTTAACATATCTTTGTCTTTTTTCAAGTAGCTGTTTTTAATTGGCTTTTAAAATACCTTTCGAATAAATTACAATCAAGGATGCTTTCATTCTCATTTTCATTCTTGGAATTGTAACATACAATACCCAAATATAAAATAAGATTATAGTTTGTATTCAGATATTTGCTCCTAAAAACAGAGTGCTGATCACACTGTCACAAAATCTAATGCTTTTTTCTGATGCTATAGATATCTTTAATAGGTAGTACATTAACTAGAAATTTCCATGTAACAGACCAGAGAATATTAAAATGTGTATCTCCTCAGAAGTACTCTCAATAGAAAATGTGGTAGCTAGGAGAAAAAGTTGAGACGGAAATGATGCATTGATCACCTTAATAATGTACATACAGCACAATTATTAAATCCTAGAAATTGCTTTTCATAACTGAATAATGCCTAAGTCACCTAGTACTTAAGAAAATGGTAAATGGAAACAGTAACACTATGTAAAAGTGATATTTTGGATGATGTGTTGCAAGTAAACCATAGCAGTGTATATATTTAATAACAGCAATACATTCACATCCCTAGCCAAAACAGAGATCATTCCTTAATGGGTTTTTCTTTCCAGGTTTCCATAAGAAAGGCTGTACATTATCACAGAGAGATAACTTTAAGTCTTTATGCAATTCTTCCCCCTACTCAAATAATGACAAATGTCAGTCACCTGGTAACCCAATTATTAAAGAAAAATTTCAATGGAGAATTTTAAAAAGAACAAAAGGATCAGACTCACGTGTCTCTTGAAATCACACTGTTTTACTACTAGGTTCAAATTTAATACAATCACTCCCATGTCATCTTCTAAACTGTTTGGATCTTCCAATTTTAAGATATGCTCAGTCGTTCTAGAAGCAAAAGGCAATGAATGACATTAGCATTTATTGGGTTAGTATTTTTTGCCTTAGAATAAATACATCAGGTTCTTATGATAAAAATCTACCTCTAAATAGGCCTAAGACACAAGTTAAAGAGCACAACAAATTTAGTGAAAATAAACCAATTTTTCAGGGTCAAGAAATGCACTGCCTAATTCAACAGATGGTCAACTGATTCTTCTCCCCTACCACCCAAGGAAAATGTAAATACTTGCTTTAATTTTAAGGTAAGTAGGTTAATGAATTTCGATATTAACAAATAGAAGTACAAAATTCACCCCTTTTAAATTATGTTCACACCTTTTAAATTACATTACGGAAGATTTAATGTCAGACCAATATATATTTGGAAGCTAAAAAGCAAAAGTCATAGAAAATCTCACATTTTAAAGCACTCTTTCATTTATTCAGATTTTTTTCACTTTATTATCTTGAGTTACCTCTAAAGTTCACTAATCACAATTAGATGGTAAAATTACAATACCTGTTAAGCTCAAGATCACTCAAAATGACAAATGCAGAACCCATGAAATCAGATGTAGTTAAATCTCGATCATATACCTACAAAGAGAAGAGGGGCCAGTAATGCATTAATATGGTAAACAAATTGAGTATATCACAGTATAGATAAATGCAACAGACTGGGAATTTTGAGTTCAATCTTCTAGATCTAAGAATAATTTGCACAGTATAGTTGAAGAAGAATTTAGCCAAGCTGGTGAAGAGAACAAAATTATTCAAACCTGTCCATTTTGCTTACTATGGCCAAAATAACAGAAAATACTTCTAAGGCAGTATTCATCTGCATTAAGACATTTTTGCACAATGGACCACTCTGTAGTTTAAGTGGTCTCTCATTAAAATTTAGTATTTTCCACTGTGGGCAACTCTGCCAATTAAATAGAAATTTGCGAAATTTTCTACAGCAATCCCATCCTGTGCTCAACTCATGCAGTTTTAACCCAGATGTTAGAGCAATTGATGCTTATAACTGGTAGCTTAAAGCTCTATTAAGTATAAAGTTATTCCTAATGAGGAAGGCTTTAGTACTTGTCACCACTGCATCGGCAGTAATAATTCTTCCACATTCAGTAAGTTTAAATACAATCAATGGGGATATTATTTTCACTCCGATTGATCTGAGAGTAACATACAGTTTTGAACCAAGGGTATAAAGAATCCCTTCTACACATATTTTTTAACACAGTGCTTAGGAATTATACAAGTATGAATTTGGGGAAGTTGACTTTTAAGAAGGCAAAGATGGCTGAGAGATGAATATTTTTAATAAAAGAGGAGATCTGAACGTCATCTGGGATTACCTTCACACGCAGCTTTTGATCAAGGCTTTGAATTGGCAATACGACTATCTCGTCCCAGACTGGGTTCAAGTTCTTATATATGACTTTACTTTTGTACAGGGTCTTCCCATTCAGCTTAAACTTCACATAGGGATCACTCGTGCCTTTAACAAAAAAGAGAGCAGGACCAGTTTAAAAAATACACGTAGAAACCGTGGAATCTCCATTAATTAAAGATCCTTCCCACAATCCAGACTCAAAGCGTATCGCTGAGCACACCCAGAACAAATGTCTCCCTGCATAGAGACTAAGGGTTGAGAGTGGAGAGAAATGAAGCAATCTGGGGAAAGCGCGGATTCTTCCTTGCCTTTTGTGATAGAATATAAATGGGGTCCTTGAACTTTCTCTGTGTGGTTTCATTGTGGGTATGTCATCACTCTCCTACCCACAAAAAATCCAAGACGTAAAATCCACTGGCACCAGCCACGGACGTCAGGGGTCCTGGAGAGAAGCCGACCCCGCCCAAGGATGGCCGTGAGTCAGAGAGAAGGGAAAGAAACTGTTTTCAAACATTTGGCCAGATGGCTGACTCGAGAGAACCCTGTACTTTAGAATACAATCATAATAAATAAATCAATCTCTGGAACCATCGGCTCAAAAGGTGGGGCCAGGGGACTCACACTGGAACGGGGGCCGCAGAGATTAAGCCGACAAAGTTGCCATTCTTCACCACCCCCCGCATCTGCAGCAAAGCAGAGAAGGCTGTTCCCCCGGCCAGCTGAACGCCCCTCGGCCAGGCCCTCAGCGGGCCCCGGGCTGACACCCTGACCTGCGGCCTCCTCCCAGGGAGCTTTGAAACAGACGCCAAGAGGAATGAATAATGTGCCGCCAGAGCCACTGTGTCCAAAGCAGAAAGAGGGACTGGTGACGGACCCTCCTGCACACTCTCGAGATCAACTGAGGAAAAAAAAAAAGCCTGTAAATAAAATACCAGGATTCTGTGCTGTGCATGTGGGTTACACGCACGCAAGTGTACCACCACACTCAGGGCACAGAGCACTCCCTGGGACATCCTTGCGCACTACCAGTCAATGAATGAGGAAGAAAGGAGGCAAGAATGAATGAATGAATAACCCTTGAGGGCAAAAATGAAGGCCAGCTGATCATGCTACAAAAAGAGGAAGAAAAAACCTCTAATTTGGGGAAGTATGCTGGTATAATTCATTATGAACCAGGCTCTGCATAAGTCTGAGCTCAGAGCCCAACGGTCTGTTTTGTCCACTGACACATTCCAGGTGTCTTGGACAATGCCCAACAGAGGCCTCCACAGATTTACTGTCGTGAGTTCTCGATATTAAAGTCAAGCTGATAGGGTCTAAAAATATTACATCAAAAATTAATTAGGCTACTCTGTCACAAATATTTCCAACTCCTTATTATCTACCATGAATCATTTCAATCATTTCAATCTTTTTTTTTCCCCCCAGCTCTTTCCGAGGTTTCTGCGGGATGGAAAACTCCTGAACACAAATGCAATTCTTATCCCGAAGATTTTAACTGGCAGTCACGTCACTCGAGGGTAAGATAACACACACTGATTAAAAGTCCTAACAGAGGAACCAAGGTCCCCGAGTGTTAACTCAGCCATTCCAGGATGGCAGGGCTACTAACTTTAAAACAAAGAAATCCAATGACAGACACACACGGATGCATATTCAACTCCCACAGTTTAAGTCTGGCAACAAAGGCGCAGAAACCCAGCAGTCTTTATTTTGCTTTTTTAATTTTTCAATTTGTTTTTTAATTGGAGGAAGGTGGCTTTACAATGATGTGTTGGTTTCTGTCACACAACTCGAAGCAGTCATCACTATATAGACGAGCCTCCCCACCCTCCAGGTCCTCACAGGGAGCAGAGCTGGGCTCCCTGGCCTATACAACAGCCTCCCCCAGCTATCTTTTACACACCATAGTGTCCATATGTCAATGCGACTTTCTGCAGAACCCAGCAGTATTTCTTTCAAACCTGGACACATATGCATGCAGTTCTGAGCAGGAGAGCAAAAACGAAGGCATTCCCAGCCATTCAGTGGCCCAGTCACTGGTGAGGCAGTAATCCGTCCCACCTCCCTCCCTTTCACAGTAAAAGAGAACACCTCTGGCAAGTCAGATTTTAACAATCATTCTGATATATATATATAGATAAAAAGGGGGGGGGGACCTCTAATAAAAAGAGGCCTTTAATTAAATGAAATTGCCACTCTGGGATCAGGCCTTCAGGCCTGTCAGCGTGCTCTCAAAATAAACACCTCACAAGCCGGCCTCGGTGGCGTGGCTTTCTCAGCGGCAAAGCACGCTGGGTAATCCCCAGGCATCTTGACAGCTACATAATGTTCAAACTGCTTCACGGGTGAATGGCGGCAGCGCGTGAAAGAAAATATTAATGTCTGGAATTAATAGAAAAAAGAGGACCGGGGTTTACAAAACCAAACAAGGAACCAGGGTGTCGAGTGAGCGCGGAGTTAATTGTTAGGGAAAAACTGAGAAACGCGGGGGTGGGGGCTTGGGGGGCACGCCGTGGTTTTTCTCTCAGCGCCTAAGTGCCTCGCTGTCAGGCAAGTGACATCTTAACTAGGCCGGTTCTGAAAAGGGGTCGCGGCTCAGGAATGCAAGGCCCGGATGATACAAATGGTGAGATGACACCTGAATGGGTGGACTTTAACCTTCCCCCCCCGCACCACGGGGCGCTTCGTAAACAATGAGGCCCTCGGGAATAAAGAGGTGCTGTGGAACTTTAGGAGAATGAAACCGGGAGGCCCGAGTCGAGGCGTCCACCCCGGGTTACCGCCCGCTCCGCCACGCGGACTCCCCGGGATCACACAGCCTCAGGTTTAGACCATGCGAGCGTTAAGCATCCGTGGCCGGGTTTTCCCGCTCGCCTGCCCGCCATGCTGTGGTGGCGTGTGTGTGCTCAGAGAGGGTGATGCCACTCCCTGCTCCTCCAGAAACGCTGCACCGAGTCACGCTCCTGACAACAGCAGGGCAGTCCCCATTTCTACTCACGACACCCCGATGGGCACGTCTCTGTGGGCTACCATCACTCACTGGTTGCAAACTCAGGTTGCCTCGGACCACCGTCCACTGCTAGGTACCAAGGGGGACTGCAAGGGGAAATCCAGCCAGAGCCTTTCCTTCAGCACCTGGCGGGCAGCACACGTAAGGCATATATATCACCAGGTCTAAGGTAAGTGTCAAAAGAGAACAGAGCTTGGGGGTTGGAGGCTCATTCACAGTGCTAACTGGGGTATCGGTGGAGGCTGAAATAGAGGAGGTGGGAATTGAAACATGGGTGGATCTGGCCACACAGAGAAGGCCCAAGGCCATTTCGGCTGGAGGGATCGGCACTGAAAGGGGAAAGAGACTGGCAATTAAGAAATGCCTGAATTTGTGTGGTGTCCAGCAAGCATTTTAATTCATCCAAAAATTAAGGGAAAAAATGTTAATGAGAAAGTTTAAAAAAATCCAGTTTTGAATCAGAGACTAAAATGCCTTAAAATCACAAAATAAAAAGTTATGGTTTTGCTCTGTAAGAAATAAAGGGTGGTTTTGTTTTTCTTGTTCTTTTTTAATATAAAAATGTTTAAAAAGTGTAGTATACACTCATGATTCTGAAAGGTATGAAACGAAAATTCTCCACCCTCTTAATGTTTCCTCNAAAAAGCAGGGTTCAACTTTTCTACTCTATATTTCATAAAATTATTTAAATATAGAAAACATTTTACTTGGGCACCTGAACACATAATATTAAACTCCTCCAAATCAAAGTTCTGGAAGGTAGGATGTATGCCCAGAGTTACCTAATATGCATAGTAGTTGAATTAGATGAAGACGTGAATAAATCAATGAAAAAACTTTAAAGTAAGATAGGCATGGTGGATTAAAATCCTAGACCTTCCTTTTAATAACCATATCACCTTAGGCATTGTGATTTCCTTAGGCCTTACTATCTTCACCTGTAGAAGGAAGGAGCTGTCTGAATACTTTTGTCAGGGGGTCCAAAGAGTTCAGTTCCAAGTCAAGAATTATTTACTAAGTCGTTAGGGAACTTGAGATACATATAGATGAATTCACACTGCATAAACAGTATTTGGACACATATCAAAAGCATACATTCAACATTTTTTCTATCCTCTGGCTTCAGAGTAATAAGTGACTATTATTTTATTTATGCACATATGCTGAGACGCTTTTCAATTCATACACTTATTTAGAATTCTCTTCTTGCCAGAAGGTTAAAAAAAAAAAAGTAAATCTGAGCTGTTTTTATAAGGGATCCGTAAGTTCTAACTTTCTCTGAGGCTGGCCAAATAAAAAACAGACCTGATTTGCAGAGAACAACCAAGTGATGATTTCTGAACAGCGGCTGCTGCCCTCTAGCAGTTACACTGAGATTTCCAGATTAAACTGCGTCCAGCTGCAGCTGTAGTTTTAAATCGGTGCATAGCTGCTTTACCATGTCGTGTTAAGTCTGCTGTAGAGCAAAGTGAATCACCCATCCTTGGATGTGTGTTTGTGTGTGCACGTGCACACTCACGCTCAGTCACTTCAGTCATGTCAGACTCTCTGTGACTCTATGCACCAGGCTCCTCTGTCCATGGGATTCTCCAGGCAAGAATACTACAGTAGGTTGCTGTGCCCCCTTGCAGGGGATCTTCCCGACTCAGGGACTGAACCCACGTCTCATGTCTCTTGCATTGGCAGGTGGGTTCTTTACCACTAGCGCCACCTGAGAAGTGCGCGCATGCGTGTGTGTATCCCTTCTCTTCCAGATTTCAGAGCCCTAAGAAGAGTTCCCTGTACTCCACAGCATGTTCTTACGAGCTAACTATTTTATACATGAGACCAACAGTGTGTATGTCTCAATCCCCATCTCCCAGTTCATCCTACTGCGCCCCTTCCCCTTGGTACCTGTGTTTGTTCTCTCCTATGTCTGCATCTCTGTTTCTGCTTTGCAAATAAAACCATCTATACTATTTTTCTAGATTTCACTTGCATGCATTAACTGACTTCACTCCGTACGACATTTCAACTGTAGCTTCCTTAACAGGCGCCTCCAGAGACTATAATACGCTTTATGGAAACTCAAAGGCCACTCTCCTCAGTCCAT